CTCAAACTTGGGTCAATTTTAGCAGTGTGTAGAAATTTACCCCTGATAGGTCGACAGGATTAAAATGCCGTATCGTTAGAGAAACGGTTGTGATCCTCACTAAAGGCGCGCTCAACCCAGCAGAGAATCTCAACGCTTTACCTTACAATGACTTGCATCTGCAGTTGTTCCATTACTATTTTGAATGCTTGTAGTGTGTGCTCTTAGCATATTAGACAACTACAGGCAAAGGTTTCTTACAAACTTGGTGTTCTAAGCCTTCCGAATCCCACGAGAGGGAATGGAAGGACCGCGGAGAAAAACCCTCACCTTCGCACAGAAAATCGTCCGGCAAAGCAGCAGAACATCTTGCTCCCGTTAAGCGATTTCCTCTTCTGTCCTAGACCGTTCGGTTTTCAACAGTTTTCGATGGGAGGTTATATCTCGAACGTGAAACAAAAATGGTGTCGGAAAAGCAAACATCACCTTATCTCAAGCAAGGTTGAAAGTGTGTGGTACTGATTGGAGAGCGGCGTGTGTTCTGCATAACCCTACCCAAATGAAGAAGTCCATAAACGCCCGCTGAAGTCCTACAACCGAAACCCGCGGCATCACCTTACGATTACACATTAGGTTTGAAGGTCTGTATGCGAGCTCAGAGGGAAACATGACCGTGGGCTTTGTTGCGGCATACTGCTGGTGATGTTGAAAAGCCACCGTTTCAAAGAACCAGCCCCCCCCTCTGTTGTTTTACAACTTTCCATTTTCCATTTCCACATTTCCATTCCATTTGCAATTTTTCGTTTTTTTGAGTATCGTTTTGATTCATCATGTAGAATTTCACTCACATGGCACTACGCAGATCGACTTCTTCGACAAGGGCATTCAGCTTGACAAAAATACTTTCAGTCTGCTGGCATTATTGTCCAATGTTTGACTTTTCGGGGAGCCATGCACTCCTTATCTACCGCAGTGGGTTTCATATTCGCCCACAGCAACGACAGGAATCCACGCTTTACGACCCTACACTGCACATCAGACGTTGCTCATAAGCGTGCAGATGACTGAGAATGCCACGACTCCCTTCACCGCCGTCCTTTATACCAGCGCTTCGGTAACACATCCTAGGAAAAGTTATGCATATGGAAGCATGAGGGGAGCCAGAAATCCTCTAATTTTCTTGCACGTGTTTTTTGTATTCTGCACTGATGCAGTCCCCCACAATTCCCACCGCGGCCTCAACGTGGCGTGGGGGAGGTGGCTTCTGCAAGCTAACGCGAAGGGTGCTTCCGAGGATAGAAGCATTGCAGAACTTCACTCAGGAGGTTTATTCAAATTCTGCACAATAATGATCAATGGATTTTTCAAGTATCCCGATCAGAGCTAGGTTGCCCACCGTAATGGGCCAAACTAGGACGTCCACCGTAATGGACACACAAGCTAGGAAGTCCTCCGTAAAGGACAAGCGCGAGACCATCAGGATCGCCACACTTAACATCGGCACCCTGACTGACCGTACTGCCTAACTGAGGGACATGGAC